GTAGAGGGAAACACTGGAAACAGAATGTAAACTAAGAGCCTCCTACTGGGAACCACCTGGTGGGATGAATGGCCTTCTGGGAGGTCAGCTGGGCCCTGGGGAAGAGCTGCCCATGGCCACTTGGGATGGATAGGCAAAAAAAGAGATTCTGGCAGCTTAAAGTGGGTTCTGCCCTAGCAGAATGATTTGAAGTGGTGGCTAGGCCGTAAGCTATCCAAGCTTATTTGAGCCATTACTAAAAAGAATTCTGAGGGAAGTTTGCTCCAAAAATTTGACTAACTCAAGACCATAGCTGCTTTTTTTTTTTAAACCCAAAGTAGGGATAAATTAAAAGTGGTAAATGTGCCCTTAAAGCCAGCTTTTAAAATATTCATTCACTTATTCAGCTAACAGATATTTTCTGTGAACCTGTTTAGTGTTAGACATGGAAACATGGTAATGAACAAGATAGATGAAGACCCTGTTCTCATGGAACTTATAGACTAGTAATAGTTAGAAGTACACAACTAGTTACGTATAACCATCCTCAGGCCTCTGAGGAAGCCTAAGGTGCCACGGGAATTATGACAGATGGATGTGCAGTTTGAGTGAACAAATAGTTGGAAGCCCTGCAGCACAAAGCCTTGGGTGTGTTGGAGGAACTAAAGGGTGTGAGATGAGGCCTGGAGGTCTCCTGGAGCCAGCTTTGGAAGAGCCCTGTAGACAGGGGAAGGATTGGGACCTGTTACCTAAGGGCAGTGGGAATCACTGAAGGGTTTTAAGAGAGGTAGAAAGAATTAGATTTATATCTTTAAGACATCTTCCTGGCTACAGCTTGGAGACTCGAGGGGCTGCCAAGTTAGACGTGGGGGAAGAGCTTGTGGTCACCTTGTAATGTCACTGCAGTGAGGATTGAGAGAAGTGGGTGGATTCCAGGGATGCTTTGGAGGTAGAACTCTGGTTGATGTTTGAGATGTGGGTGGTGAGAGAGAGGGAGGTTTATACTATGCCTTCCAGGTTGAGGCCTAAATATTTTGGTGGCCTTCCTGAGATGCAGCTCTGGAAGAGGAGGAGGTTCTCATCTGCGAAAGCAGATTCCCATCTGAGTTCCATTTTGGACTTTTAATTTTGTGGTACTTGCCCGTTCTTCAGTCAGCATTTCATTTACAAAACTATGGAAAAGTCATCAGTAACATTCAAAATACTACTCAAAATCACAGTATTTGTCATTGATTGTTGAAATTTGGATATTACATAGGTTATAACTGCCTTTAGCAGAGTTCATTGGAGGTGGGTGTGGTAGTGCACACCTGTAATCCCAGCTGCCTGGGAGGCTGAAGCAAGAAGATCGCAAGTTAGAGACTGGCTTGGGCAACGCAGCAATTCCTATCTCAAAAAAGAAAACAAACAAACAAAAAAAAATAGGTCATTCTAGCTCCTCTAAAACTGGAGTATCAACTACCAAATGATCATGGGAGGGCCTGGGAGGCCAACAGGCTGAGAGGTTACACTCTCCCCAGGCTGCAGGCATCCCCACGCGGGGATTTCTTACCTTTGCCTTACAAGCTTTGAGCATGCTGTGACCCACAGAAGGAACTTATTAAAAATGTGGGTGGCATGGGGAATGAATGTTGAAAATGTTTAAACTAAAAAGAAGCCAATTTGAATGTGGTTATCATTCATTAGCCTTTGGAAATTTCCTTTCTCTCAAAGTTAATAAAGATGCTAAAACTTTTTTCTAATTTAAAAATATTTTTAGAGAATTAGCTAAGTGGTTGAATGATTGATTGGCTTAAACATGTTTCTCCTCTTCAGGGAGCTACTCACCTACCTGGACCTCAAAAGGTGAAGATAGAATTCCTTGAAGGCATTTGTGTAGATTATAGAAATAATGCTTTAGAAGAACTAACTTCCCAAACCCTTTGCTTGCACACGTGTTACCAGCATATCATGATAACAGGATTACAGGCATGAGCCACCATGCCCAGTTCAAGGTGGATTTTCTAATGCTATTTGGATTGTTCTTGTCTTTTATATGTCAGGAATCAAATGCAAAGTATGCCTGAACTCTTATATTAGCATCTTGTTCTTAGAAATGTGGAAAGATCATAGAAAACATTAAACTAAGCCAGGCACAGTGGTACACACCTGTGATCCTGCTATTAAGGGACTGAGACAGAAGGAGCACAAGTTCAAGGCCAACCTACTCAACTTAGTGAGACCCTGTTTCAAAATAAAAAAAAAAAAAATTGAAAAGACTGAGAATGTACCTCAGAAATAGCATGCCTCTAGGTTCAATCCCTAGTACCACACACACACACATATACACATATACATACGCACATACACACACAGTTTCTAAATGGTTGCTCAGTTTCCATACATATGTCTTTAGTAACAGTGACACACAGTCACATACCAACCCCATCCATAATGGCCACTTTGAGCAGCACTACCCCACATTCTAGAAAAGGTGTGAGGCCCAAGGGGAACATGGCAGCAAGCAGTGTCATGTAAAGAGAGACTGAGAAAGTAGTTGGGTTCTGTTAGAAGCTTGCTGGTTACCTTGGGGAGCAGTTTCATAAATGGGATATATACAGGGATGGATGGAGGGTAAAGGAAAGAAGGCAACTAAGGGTCATTTAGAATGCAAAGTCTTAGCGCCTCTTCCCTCTACTTAGCTCCACCCTCACCTGCCCAGTTGAAAAATTTTGTTGAGAAAGGTGAGAAATTATAGAACCGCAATGGTTACTGCATCAAATGATAGATTCTCAGTATGGGGGAAGGGTAGTGGATAAGGAAAATTTTAATTATGCACACACTCCCCAGAGGTTGGAAGGAGGTTGATGATCTCCACCCAGATCTGTTGTCTTGTTGCACATCACTCGCCACACCTGTTGCCCACAGTTCAGCTCTATGACAACTATTTCCTTGAAAGCACAAACTTTCTGTAGCCTCAGAGCCTTCACACCCACCGTAGTCCTGCAGCCCTTCCCCACTGAGGCCTATCATCCTTGAGGTCTCAGTGACATTATCCCAAGGCCTTCTCTGATGTATCCCTAAATCCAGTCCTCCTAATGCTCTCATTTATAGCAGACTTTGCTTTCCCATCATTGAACTTAACACAGTTTACACTGTATTTATTTGTGCATGCACTGATTCAATATGTTTTCCTCCTTAGAAGGTAAGCTGTATGAGGCAGGGACAGTGACTGTTTTAGTCACCCCTTATTTATTGACTCCTGAGCACAGTGCCTCCACACAGTACATGTCAGTGTAGAACAGTTGCTACATAATTAATAGCTAACGTTTGTTGAGTGCTCATTAAGTGCCAAGGACAGTGATGAACACTTTATAAACATCTCTCTCTCTCTCTCTCTCTCTCTCTCTCAATAGTTCTATGAGATAATTACTATCAAATGAGGACACTGAATTTATCTGACTTAAGTAGTTCACCTAGGATTAAAGGGCCTGTGAGGAAGCCATGTTCAGGTTTATTTTAAAATCCAAGCCAGGGGCTGGGGATGTGGCTCAAGCGGTAGCGTGCTCGCCTAGCATTCGTGCGGCCCGGGTTCGATCCTCAGCACCACATACAAACAAAGATGTGTCCGCCGAAAACTAAAATAAATAAATAAATAAATCCAAGCCACCAGAAAAACATCTTCCCTAGGGGCTAGAAGAAAATTGGGAGTGCAGATGAACAAGCAAAGCCACTATGAATATTTAGGTAGTCAGCTACAAGTATTTATCATGGAGCATGTGCAGAACTCTGCTGGACACTGTGAATAAAATAAAAAGAGCTGGGTTTCTGAGCCACAGAAGGGTTGTGACCAAATGGACTATGTAAGAAGAAGAGGAAAATTCAAGTCTGGAAAAGTAAAAGAGCAGAGAGATCACTAGCTATCCCTCAGTCCTGAGGTGGCACCTCTGTATTTCACTTCTGTCTTTTTATTTTATGTGGATATGTTTATTTGCAACATGGGAAAAATATTTGTATTATGTATATGTGTGTGTGTGTGTGTATGTGTGTGTGTGTATAGATAGATATTTTTTTTTTTACTATTTTTCACTTAGCATAATAGCATAAATATTCTTGCAAGCAAAAGCCACCAAGTCAAGGCTAGCTTGGGGGATGTGCCCTGCTCAAAGTGGGTGGACAGCGTGTTCACCTAAAATTTTATTCAGGAAGGACCAGGTGTGTTCTGGAGAAATTCTCAGTATTTCTGCTTGGGGGTGGTTCTGTCAGGAAGGGGACATTATGGTTACTTTGAAGACCAGTGGGAGAGAGAAGAAAAAGGTGGGAGGTATTGTGGATCCTAAGATGCCTGAAGTTTTTCATGCTATATAATATGACCTTTCCTAAATATTCAAAGTTATAAAAATCATCAGTGCTTTATGGTAGAAAGCTATGTATGTGCCAGGTCACAAATGAGAGCCAGTCCCTTTGATCAGCTCTCTGAGGGGCAAGACAGGATGCCTCAGCGGGCCCTTGGGTTCCATACTGACTATTGCCACTTAGATTAGAGGAAAGAGCCAGTGCCTAGGCCTCTGGTCCACTCTGAACTCACCCTCAGTGCTTCTCTGTTAATTGAAGTAATGTATGGTCCGTAAACACTAGAAAATTCAAGTCCGGGAAAGTAAAAGATCAGAGAGGTCACTAGCCATCCCTCAGTCCTGAGGTGGCACCTCTGTATTTCACTTCTGTCTTTTCTTTTTATTGTATGTGGATATGTTTATTTGCAATCTGGGGAAAATATATGTGTGTATAATATGTGTATGTATATGTATATATACACATACATGTGTATATATTTTTTTCTGTTTTCACTTAGCATAATAGCATAAATATTCTTGCAAGCAAAAGCCACCTTTCTTATTTGTGGATATACACTTTTGTAAAAACAGTTGATCTCAATAATAGAAAGCTTTCTAAGAACAAATTTAGAGAGGGGGTGTATATTCTCTGAAGAAGCCTAAATTGATTCAAGTTCTTGGTTTTTCCCTCCCATTTGCACAATTCAGAAAGTCCTATGAGTTTGAAGACTTACTGCAGTCTTCCTGCGAGAACAACAGGGTGGACTGGTATGCACAGACTAAGTTGGGGCTCACACGCACTTTATCAGAGGAGAACGTCTATGAAGACATTCTAGGTAAGAGACCAAATGTCTGTGAGTCTGGATGTAAGAAAGAGGGAGAGAAAATGGGGATGCTGCTTGAAACACACACGTGCACACACAAAGACAGAGGTGTAGTCAAATGAATGAGAGAGCAGGTAGACAGGAGGGGAGAGTGGGTGGGCCTCAGTGAGATAAGTGAGAACACGAGGCTGGAAGGGAGAAGAAGGGCTGGTCATGAACCGTGCAGGAGGCAGAGTGTGGACCAAGAAACAGAAGGCCTGGAGTCACCATCTGGAATGAAATCTTGGCTCTGCCCCTTGTTAGCTGTGTGATATTGAGCTGGTGATACCGTAATTTCTCTGAACTTGAGCTCCCTTGTCTCAATAGTGAGGGTGATAATGGTTCCCTTGCAGGTTATTTAAGGACTGGAGAGAATGTAAAAGACCTGGCTCCTTACAGATGCCCCTGAATTGTAGGGATGACTGAATGAAAGAAAACACTGAAGACCAGCCTGCTTTTTCAGACACTCAGGAGTATGGCACTAACAGGGCATCAGAGTACAGACTAAATGAATGTGTTGTTGGAGAGTAACTTTGGCCTAGCCCCAAAGACTCCTCTTAGATTCCAAAATGGGGCTCATATTCAAAGTTTGTTTGGGGAGTTCAGTAGTCTTCTGTAAGATCACAGTTTCAGTGTGGTGTGAGCTCAGACTGGTATCTGCTTACCGTGGGAGAGGAAGCGAGCTGGGAAGAGGGAGAAACCCATAGGTGAGTGCATGTGAGAGGCAGGTGGGGCAGATGCCCACAGACTTGCATGCATGGAGTCTCCAGTACCAGAAAATATCATGCGAGGAGAGGCGGGGCATGCACTCAGTCAGCTGAGCTGTGTAGGCTGGGTTTTCTAAAGCAGCAAGCTTCCCAAATCGAAGGAGGGTATGAACTCTGGACTTCTGCAGTGTATGCCTGAGAGGTTGCTTTCAGTTATGGGGAACAAGGACACCAACTGAACAACAAAGGGAGGTCATGGACTCCCATGACCAGAATTGGCATTTTTCCTCCTCCATTTCTTACCTCCCAGAGAAGCTCCATTCTCAGCGGACTTCCCATCATCCTCAGGATTAGGGCTAACAGCTCCTTGGAGTTCATACCTTCCCCTGGGAAGGAGTACCTATGTCTTGCAAGTCTTTGCAAAAATCCTGAGGTTCACTCTGGCCAGACCAGCTTGGCTCCCTTGTTCACTTTGGAGTCTGGGAATGCCATGTGGTGTTTGCCTTGGGCTGGGATGCGAACCCTGACCTGAACTCATCACTGAGGCAGCAGTCTGAGGCCCCTAGAGTGCTGAAGTCCTGAAACTGGGAGTTCAATTAATCTTACATAGCTATAAGGGGGGGACAGGTTGTTACCCTAGTGATAATCAGGGTCTGTCACTGAGAGAAAGGGTGATGGGCAGCAAAACAACAGACATCCCATAAGGGCTAGCGCAGGAGAGGCCAAGACGTTAGCCTCAGTGTTCTGAGGAGGAAAACTTCCCAGGTTCCTGACCCATTGCCTTTGACCACAGATCCACCAATGAAGGAAAACCCTTATGAAGACATCGAGTTACATGGCCGCTGCCTGGGCAAGAAATGTGTCTTGACCTTTCCTGGTTCTCCCACCTCTTCCATACCTGACACTCCCACCAAGGTATGAGCCCTGGGGGAGTGGTGGCAGGAGAGGGGTCCCAGGTACCATGTCCCTGAACACTCTGGAGTTCAGGCCGTCCTCACAACCAGGCATCTGGTTCTGTCTATCACAACCTGGATCTGTCTATCCACTGTCTGACTGGCCTTCCTGCCTCTCATTTTCCTGGACCCCCACTGCTTGACAGAATCTCTGAAAATACCACTGAGCTTCTAGCTCAGAACTCTCCTCAAACTTTTTACATAAAAAATGGTCCATCCATGTGATACAGCTGTTCAGAAGAAGGCACTGAACAAACCTGACACACAAGACTGAAATGCAGGGTGAAGAACAGTATATTTATAGTATTCTGCCATTTGTGGGGGTTTTGAAATGAAAGTATATACAAGCATGGGAGCTCACCTGTGTTCATGGATGTAGAAGAATTTCTCTGTGAGGGATCTTAGCGTGGATAGACTTTAAGCAGGTACCTTGGTGGAACTGTCAGTGCCTGACTTCCTATAGGCCACAAGACTGGCTTTCTTTTTACAGAGTATGCTTTTTTTTTTTAATTAATTTATTCATTTTATAGTGGAATGTATTTTGACACATTGTATACAAATGGAGCATACCTTCTCATTCCTCTGGCTGTACTGGTTCAGAGTCACTCCAGTAGTATAATCATACATGTATATAGGATAATAATGTCTGTCTCTTTCTACCATCCTTCCCATCCCTACAATCCAACCCCTCCCCTTACTCCCCTCTACATAAACCAAAGTTCCTTCATTCTTCCCTATCCCCCCACCCCACTATGGATCAGCATCTGCTTATCAGAGAAAACATTTGGGTTTTGGTTTTGGGGGATTGGTTCATTTCACTTAGCATGATATTCTCTAGTTCCATCCATTTCCCTGCAAATGCCATAGTTTCATTCTTCTTGTGTATCTGTACAACATTTTCTTTATCCGTTTATCTGTTGAAGGGCATCTAGGTTGGTTTCATAGTTGAGCTATTGTGAATTGAGCTGCTATAAACATTGATGTGGCTGAGTCATTGTGTGCTGATTTTAAGATCTTTGGGTATAAACCAAGGAGTGGGATAGCTAGGACAAATGATGGATCCATTCCAAGTTTTCTGAGATATCTCCATACTGCTTTCCATAGTGGTTGCACCATTTTGCAGTCCCATCAACAATGTATGAGTATACTTCAGAGTATACTTTTGAACCTTTTGTAGTTTTATACCATGTGCACATAGATAATGTAACTATTCATGTACATGCTAATAATTTCAATCTCTTGCCTAATAGTTGGAGTTGATATTCTTTAGTGTGTCCTTAAGTATCTTTCATAATTAATCCCCAAGCACCCCTCATTGCCTGCTCTCCCACAGTTCTTATATGCAAACACTCCCTACCAGCAGAGCTTACGAGCTACCCTTTGATATTATCAGCCAAGGATCAGCAAACTTTTTCTAAGCAGCCAGAGAGTAAATATTTTAGGGTTTGTGGGATAGGTGGTCTCTGTTGTAGCTACCTGCATTATAGTGTGAAGCAGCCATAAAATGATATGTAACAAGTGAGAGTATCTGTTTCAGTGAAACTATTTGGGAGCACTGAAATTTGAATTTTATTTTCACCATTTACATTTTTAATGTAAAATCTGGGGATGGGGTTGTGGCTCGGTGGTAGAGTGCTTGCCTAGCATGCATGAGGCACTGGGTTCGATCCTCAGTATCACTTAAAAATAAAATAAAAAATATTGTGTCCACCTTTAACTAAAAAATAAATATTTTTTTAAAAAAATGTAAAACCTGGGCTGGGGATGTGGCTCGAGCAGTAGCGTGCTTGCCTGGCATGTGTGCGGCCCGGGTTCGGTCCTCAGCACCACATACAAACAAAGATGTTGTGTCTGCCGAAAACTAAAAAAAATAAATAAATATTAAAATTCTCTCTCTCTCTCTCTCTAAAAAAAAAAAAATGCCCCAATCTCTCTCTTTTTAAAATAAATAAATAAATAAATAATGTGAAACCTGTTCTCAACTTGTGGCAGGTCAGATGTGGCCCTGGGCTGTAATTTGCTAATCCCCGGCTAAGCTCTTTCTGTCTATGTCTTTGACCGCTCCCTCCGCTCCCTCCATCCTGTCCTTTGAGGAGCAGCTCATTGGTGCCTCCAATTGGGGAGTTGGTTAGGCCATTGCAGTACCTAGAAGTTTTTCACCTTTGATGGCCTGTAACACCCAGAAGACATATCATTCATTTCACATGAATTGTCTATTGCCTTGTGACATTTCTTACATTATGATTGGAGTTTGGATTTAAATCATGTAATGTGTCTTAAAAACATCTCCCTAAGTAACAACAAACTACTCAAGGTCATATAGTTTATATTCTGTTTCTTTGTGTCTTTCCTAAGGCCCCAGTAGTTGTTACAAATATTCATTTTTTTAGAAATAAAGAAATACCAAATTTAGGCTGTAAGTGTCCAATTAAATCCCATTGCAAGGATCTGTTTTCAGCCTGAGAAAAGCAGCTATCTTCCTATTGAGCCCCACAGGGTCAGTGTTCGCTGGGGGCTGTTCCACACGAGGCTTGCCTTTCTGCACTTGGTGGTCCTAACAGGAAGCTCCTGCCACCGTCTTCCAGAAGAGTTGAGGTAGAAGCCATCATGAAGGGTATGGCTTACGGACCCACGTCAGTTACTATAATACTTGTCCAAATCAATCAACTGCCATTTTCCCCATAATGTGGAAAAGAGGGTAGTTGTGAATAATTCATGACAACCAATAACTAGTGGTTTCTACTTCCCTTGGAAATGTGTTTGTGTTTTCATTGGAATATGGACATATCCAACATCTAGGAAATCCTTTCCCCATAGTGGACAAGTCTTGCTTGGGAGAAGAAAGCTCCATCCCACCCTCCTGGCTCATCACTCCACAAGGGAGTGCACTGTACCTCCTCTTAAGAACAGTGAGGAACATCTGCCCAGAGCAAACGCATTCAGAGCAGGGTACACCTCCCTGTACCAGAAACTAAAGGCTGAGCAGCCCTTTCTTCCTGCTCCTGCCAGACAGAGAAAGCCCAGAGATTTTGCCACCTAAACAGCTAGACTAGGTTGGTGGCGGTGGCAGCCAGAGCTTGCAGTCCAGATACATCTGTCCTAAGGAGAGAGAATCTGGTTGACTGGTGCATGTGTCTGATTGCCACTGATACTTGCAGGCTGTTTGGGCCTCTGCAAGTCATCAGCAGGGCCCCATGTCCACACTCGATACTCTACACTCCCACATCTGGTGTCTGGTTTATGCCCCCATTCTGGGGGAAAGCTTCAGGATTCACCACTTCCTCCATTGAGTTCATCCAATATTCATTGAGCATCTGTGGCATCTGGGCTGCATCTAGGACCTTAGAAGCAGTCTCAGCTGAAGCAGTCCTTCTATGTTGACCTCCTCTGCCAGCCACAGAAAGGTCGTAAGCCATCTTTGGGATGTTTCTTTCATTAGCTCCTGCTTGGTCCCAGCAGAGTGGGAGGGTCTGTCAGACAGACTGTCCTCAGAAAAGAACAGATGTGCAGCTGGGGCAGATGCTGAGGCCTAATGAACACAGAATGCAAGCTCTTTTTAGAAGACAGCCTTCTACTGTGCCTTCGTTTCTTGCTGTGTGTTATCCACCATTCCCATGCCTAGTACAGCACAGAGAATACAACAGGAACAAATTTTTACAATAGAGGAAACCTGGGCTAATATGAGACACTCTTTTTGTTGCTTTTGTCTTGAGGTGGGGTCTTACTGCCTTGCCTTCAAATCCTGGGCACAAACAGTTGTCCAACCTCAGTCTCCTGAGTAGCTAGAACTGCAGGCATACACCACTGTGCTTGGCTAGAGATACTCTCTTCTACATATGATACCATTCACAGATAAGACTGAGCAAGCTGGGGGCAGTAGCACACACCTATAATCTCAGCAACTCAAGAGGTTAAGGCAGGAGGATTGCAAATTGGGGGCCAGCCTCAGCAAAGGCCCTAAGCAATTTAGGCATTAAGCAACTTAGCAAGACCCTGTCTTAAAATAAAATAAAAGGCTGGGGATATAGCTCAGTGGTAAACCAGTGTTCAATCCCTAGTACTCACCCCCAAAAAATGGGTTAATGAGCCAGCACTTGTGTCCAGGTCAGCTCCCTCTAGAAGGTGCAGGGCTTCCTTACCACCTGATCTTCCCCACACTCAGCTTCCTGAAATAATACAAGAGGCTTCACATGAAGTCAGACATCAGGCCAAGAGGGTCCTGTCTGCCTTTCCCTTTTGGACACTACAGATCTTTTGTGGTGCCCAATCTCTAAAAGACACTTGGTGTACATCTGTGACAGAGCTACTAAATAGAGGCATGACAGAGTTGGGCACTGTATATGTTGGTGTGAGGTGCTTTTATCAAAAACTGGAATCTTCTCTGGACCAAAGTCTAAAAAAATCACCCTTAGGATCCTGTAGTGACTTCCCTTTATACTACAGTTAGGATTTGACACACCATTGCTGGCTGCCTGATTTTTATGAATGAAGTTTTATTAGGACACAGCCATACTCATCCATGTCACATTGACTGTGGCTGCATTAGCAGTTAAGTACTGTGGCACAGTTGAGAGTTGAAATGGTGAGAATGTGGCCACAGCCTTAAATATTCTCTGGCCCCAGTTTGCTGGCCCCTGCTAAATCCAGGATTCATAACTTTGTTTTCAGAGGCCTTCAATAAACAGACATCTTCCTTGTGTTATCTCTCCCTTCTGTTTGTGGCCCTCACTTGGAGCCATGAAGACTCTCTTTGGTCTAATTTGTTCTCCTCACCCCTAAGCCTGGTCTCAGACTTTTATATGCTTCATAATGCTCCCCCACATAGTCCCTGAGTCTCCCCTTTGTATTATCTAAGAAACTACTGGAATCCCACCTCCTCATGGCAGCTCCTGGACTTTTGGTGCTTATTTGGATTCTCTGTGACAACCCAGACCCTTTCTCCAGCATTGTGACTGCTGGGTGATGCAGTCCACACACAGCCTCTGCCAGGCCTCTTTATGTCCTTTTTTTTTTTTGGTACCAGGGATTGAACTCGTGGGCACTCAACACTGAGCCACATCCCCAGTCCTATTTAGTATTTTATTTTTAGAGACAGAGTCTCACTGAGTTGCTTAGCACCTCACTTTTTTGCTGAGGCTGACTTTGAACTCGCGATCCTCCTGCCTCAGCCTCCCGAGCCACTGGGATTACAGGCATGCGCCACCCACTCAGCCCCTCTTGACATTCTTTAGAAAGTTGTGTGCATTGTTTTGATTTCTTCTTAAATCTTTCCATAGGTCAAATCTCCTTTAAACAATATCACAATCTAAATCTCTAATGAAAACAAATAATACTGCCAACAATTTGATAGGAGTTTTCAATCCAGTTAAAGAATTAGGTTATTTCTTTGGATATCATTTCGAATGAAGTTTGGCCTTTAAGGTCCTTGTTACTTTTTTTTTTTTTTTGGTGCTGGGGATTGAACCCAGGGTCTTGTGCATGCAGGGCAAGCACTCTACCAACTGAGGTATATCCCCAGCCCTTCATTTTTCTTTAATACTGTGCATGGTAGGCAAGTGCTCTACCACTGAACTACATCTCTAACCCTTTAAAAAAAATTATTTGGGGCTGGGGATGTGGCTCAAGCGGTAGGGCGCTCACCTGGCATGTGTGCGGCCTGGGTTCGATCCTCAGCACCACATACAAACAAAGATGTTGTGTCCGCCGAAAACTAAAAAAAAAAATGTTAAAAAGAATTCCCCCCCTCTCTCTCTTTAAAAAATATATATATATATATTTTGAGGTAGGGTGACTTTGAATTGAGATCCTTCTTCCTCATGGGTTGCTGGGTCACAGGAAAGCACCATCATGCCCAACTATTTGTTTTTGTGCGAGTATGATTAAGATACCCACAGTGACCTAAAAAGGTCAATACTTCCTGTAGTGAGCAATTTATTGATACTTTGAGACCAATGATAAAACAATAGAACCAGCCATTGGGAAGACTAGGGGGTCTTTATTCTTGGAAATCTTGAAAATGTTCTGAAGTCATTATCACTACTGTTCTAGCCTAGAATGAGAACTCAGTGGAACAAAATAAACCTATTCTTTGAGGGTTTAAAATGTGATCAATGTAGCAAGGCATGGTAGTGGACACGTAGTCCTAGCAACTCCAGAGTCTGAAGCAAGAGGATCTCAAGTTCGAGGCCAGCCTTACCAACTTAGCGAGGCCCTTAGCAACTTAGAGAGACCCTGTCTCAAAATAAAAAAATAAAATAAAAAGGGCTGGGGGATGTGGCTCAGTGGTAAGGTTCCCCTGGATTCAATTCCCGGTACCAAAAAAAAGCTATGATATATATGACCTTAAAATTTGAGTGGGAAAGCTCATTCATTAAATGGAATAAGTTAGACTACAGGAAAATATTTAGATTAACATACCACAAAACAAATTACTGATGGATTAATGAGTAAAATATGTTCAAAACAAACCAAGAAAATCCCAAAAGAAAATGGAATTAATGAAGAGATTAAATGAATTACAAAGGTAAAAATTAATAGATTTTCATATAAGAAAAAAGTTATGTGGACACTGGGCACTTGAGGTTTAGCTCAGTGGTAGAGCACTTGCTTAGTATTTGTGAAGCCCTGAACTTGATCCTGGGCATCAAAAAAAAACGACAACAATAAAAAAAAAAAAACTGAGAAATTGCATGTAACCAAAATATAAATAAGCCACATGGGAAAAGCACAGTTGTAGCGAAACTTAAAAACAGTTAATATCTGTTTGATATGAGCTCATCCACAATAATAAGAAAAACCCTAGGATCCCAAAAGATAAATAGGCAAATAAACACTAAAGAAAAATGCAGTTAGGGGCTAGGATTGTAGCTCAGTGGCAGAGCACTTGCCTTGCAGGTAAGAGGCACTGGATTCTATCCTCAGGACCACATGAAGATAAATAAATAAAATAAAGGTATTGTGTCCATCTACAACTAAAAAAAAAAAAAAAAAGAAGAAAGAAAAATGCAGTTAGGGCTGGAGGTATAGCCACTTGCCTAATGTGCCTGAAGGTCCTGGGTTCCATCCCCAACACCAGGAAAAAAAAAAGAAAAAGAAGAAGAATGTAGTTAGCCCATTGAAGTATGAACAAATATTAGTGTCATAGGGAGAGGAAGCAAAATAATATTGCACATCTATTGAATTATATCAGGCACTCTGCCAGCTGCCTTATATACCTTTATCTCATTTAGTTCATTTGTCAATTTTAAAAAGAGACTTAGTAACTATGCAGTATTGTAAAATGTAAGACCTGAAAGTACTGTTCGAAAAGACTTAAAGTGTTTCTTTTGTTTTGTCTAACTAGTATTTATTATTTTAAGCTGGCAACTAATGGGGCACACCCATAATCCTAGGACTTGGAAGGCTGAGACAAGAGGATCCCAAGTTTAAGGCCAGCCTTAGAAATTTAGTGAGACCTTGTCTCAAAATTTAAAAGAATAGGGGCTGGGGATATAGCTCAGTTGGTAAAGTGCTTGCCTTATATGCACAAGGCCCTGGGTTCCAATTCCCAGAACAAAAAAAAAAAAAATAACAACAAAAAATTTGAAAGAATAAGGACTGGAGATATAACTTAGTGGTTAAGCACTCTTGGGGTTCAATCCTCAGTACCCAAAGCAATAAAAAATTTTTAAAGTGTTATTTTAGTACATTTATATGGTTCTGAATTCAAGAAATATGAAAGTATACAATGAAAATCTGCTTACCTTTATCCCCCTTTTCTCTCCTCCACCAAAACCACTGTGAATCAATTTCTTGATCCATGGAGAACTATTCTTCCAGAACTATTCTATGCATAAAGAACACGACACAAGTTTTGTTTTGTTTTGTTTGTTGGGCAGTGCTTTGGGCAGTGCTAAGGATAGAACCCAGGCCCTTGTGCATGCTAGGCAAGTGCTCTACCACTATGTCATACCTCCAGCCCAAGAATTTTTTTTACAGTTGCATAGTATTTTATTGTATGATTATGCCATAATTTATTTGGCAGTTTGTTTCTTTTCTTTTCTTTTTTTTCAGTTATACATAGGCACAATATCTTTATTTTGTTTTTTTATTTCTATGTGGTACTGAGAATTGAACCCAGTGCCTCACATATGCAAGGCAAGCGCTCTGTTACTGAGCCACAACCTGAGCCCATTATTTGGCAATTTCTGTTGAGGGCATTTAGGTTGTTTCTAACATTCTATGATTATAAACCACGTCACCATATACGATATACTTTGCACAACATAGTTTTCCTTGAATAAGTACAAGTATGTCAGTAGGGGGAATTCCTAGAGGGAGAATTTCTTGATTAAAGGTCACATGTCATTTTGTTAGATGGGAATCCTACCAATTTATATTCCCATCAACAGTGTATGGAAATGATTTTTTCCTTTCACCTTCAACAAAATGAATATCAGACCTTTTTTTTTTTTTTACCTTTGCTAATCTTTAAATGAAAAATGTGCCTTCAATGGAGTATAATTTTCTTTTATGAGTGAAACTAAGAATCTTTTTATATATCTAAAAAAATTGTTGCACTTTCTTTTCTATAAGCTTTCTTTTGCATGTTTTTCTTTTAAATTATTGGTCTTTTTCTCATTAATTTGTATTATTTACCAGGAAAATGAGGGTGTTTTTTCTGTGTGATGAGTTATGTTTTTGTTTTTTTGCAGAGCTGGGATTCAAACCCAGGGCCTTCCTCATGCATGCTAGGCAAACAATCCACCACTAAACTACACACCTAGCCTCCCCTCCCTTTTTGGGGGGGTATAGGGGGTTGAACCAAGGGATGATTAACCATTAGGTCACATCCCCAACCCTTTTTTTTTAAATATTTTTATTTGTTGGAGTTGGACAGAACACCTTTGTTTTATTTATTTATTTTTATGTGGTGCTGAGGATCAAACCCAATGCCTCATACTTGCCAGCAAGCGCTCTACCACTGAGCCACAACCCCAGCACCCCCAGCCCTTTTTTAAATATTTTATTTAGAGACAGGTTCTCAATGAGTTGCTTAGTGCCTCGCTAAGTTGCTGAGGCTGGCTTTGAATTCACAATCCTCCTGCCTCGGCCTCACGAGCTGCCAGTATTACAGGTGTGTGCCACTGCACCCAGCCAGCCCCTAAATTTTTTAGCAAGTTTTTTTTGTCTTTTGACTTTAAAAAAACTTCTCTTAGTCTAATTGGAGCTGGGAATGCGGCTCAGTGGGAGTGCATCTGCTTAAATGCACGATGCCTTGAGCTTAATCTTCAGCACAGAAAGAGAGAGAGGGAAAAATATTGAAGTCCAAAGAAGTGAAATTCCTTGCACAGTGGGTACTTGGGCTGCCAGCAGCAGGGTCACAGCCAGACCTCTAGTCCCCGTGTCTTGTATTGTCAGAGAACCTCATCTGTAAAGTCGGGGGACTGAGCCAGGTGACATCCACTTGTCTGAAAAGACAGGCCAGTTTAGATTTACTCCTTTGTCACACAAATTTTCCATGATTGGATAAGTTAAACTGACACTTGTTAGCCTACATAAACCCCACATACTCTGGGAAGGTAGACCAGCTCCCCTTCTCAGTTGCATGGTCCCTGTCACTGGCACCACCAGTTATCTCCTGGTTAGTCCCTGTGTATTGGTTTACTCATCTGTTCTCCTTTCCTCACACAGCAGTCATTCTCCAAACCTGCTTTTTTCCGGCAAAATTCAGAGAGGTGGAACTTCAAACTGCTGGACGCTAGGAAGTTGAGTCGGGATGGAACTGGGTCCCCTTCCAGAATTAGCCCCCCCTCCACACCCAGCAGTCCTGATGACACTTTCTTTAACCTTGGAGACCTACAGAATGGCAGGAAGAAGAAAAAGATCCCCAAGGTAATGCTCATAACCAACTTCATGTTCCAATATGCAATCCTCCTTCTCTGCAAAGGAAGGCTGCAGGGCAGGCTAGGCAGAGACCCAGTCACTGGGCCCTCTGTTCATTCTGTCACCCACAGGAGGTGACATGGTAAAACCAGAAGGCTAGGATATCTCAGCCTCTGTCCTAATAATTATTGTGGTCTTATATATACACTTCCTCTTAGCCATGTCTCTCCCTGCCTTAACTGTTCTTCAGACCCAGTGTTCTCAGTGCCTGTATTCAAAAGGCCATAGCCTTCTCCTTCTTATCCTGAAAAAGTAGACCTCCATCCATCGTGCCTAGACCTGAGACTTTGTCAGGAGCTGGTGCCAGTATGTGCCCTGAGGCAACATTTGCCAAAATACATGTTCTGACCAGGCATAGTGGCTCACACTATAATCCCAGTAACTTGGGAGGCTGAGGCAGGAGGATCACAAGATTAAAGCCAGCCTAGGCAACTTAACAAGACCTTATCTCAAAATAAATATTTGGGGGCTGGGTTGTGGCTCAGCAGTAGAGTACTCACCTAGCACAGGCGAGGCCCTGGGTTCGATCCCCAACACCACATAAAAATAAATAAATAAAGATATTGTGTCCAGCTACAACTAAAAAAATAAATATTTAAAAAATAAATAAATATTTGAAAAGGACTAGGGACTTAGCTCAGTAGTAGTGTCCCTGAGTTCAATTAGCAGTACCACAAAGAAAACAAAATCAAAATGTCTCCTGGTCCCTGCCTTCCAAAAGTAAAACATGCCCATGGCTTGGTTGTACATCTTATGTTCTGTTGGTTATGTTGTCTTTTACTCAGTTTAAGCCCTGTAGTGCTGGTCTTTTCATTGACCAGTTTGGTACTGTAGGGGAGGCATTTCCTCTATCTTCTCAGGGAAGATTTGCCTAAAAATTAAACTAACTTAAGGCAGGTTAACAGGAACAATGCATGTTAAATTTTTTTTTTTTGTAGTTGTAGATGGACAGAATGCCTTTGTTTTATTTGTTTATTTTTATGCTGGGCTGAGGATCGAACCCAATGCATCTCATGTGCTAGGCAAGTGCTCTGCCACTGAGCTACAGCCCTGGCCCCTGCATGTGAATTTTAATTACATGTATGTGGGGAGCCTTCACAAGAAAATGAAAACCCAAAGAAGTTACTGGGCTTAAATACTTACATTCCGAGTCGAAAAAATTGTGGGAAAGTAACTGAAAGGTAAGGGTTAGTTTAGCAAGGCTGGTTTGTGCAGGTTTATCTTGGCCTCACCTCTCTGTCTCTAGTGATAAGAATGTTTCATCTCTCCCAATATAGGGAGGGCATCTTTCACATGGGAACTTTGTGTCCAGCTTCCAGGAAGAAGAGGGAGGGTAAGAGTGCCCACCTTACACCTGTGATTTTTAAGATGGGCACTCTCACCCAGAACCCAAAATAATCAGTATGCCAAAGCAGCCTGTTCTGAAGTAGGCAGGCTGTTCAGGACCCCTTCTGTACCAACTTGCTTTGTCAACTGTTAGAGTGGGAAGTCCATCGAACTCAGAGCCATGGGCTTTAGGAAGTCATGAACATCATAAAACTTTGTGCAGATAAGTTTGGAGGTCTGAGGGGACAGGACATTTTCTTTTTTTTTTTTAAAGAGAGAGAGAGAGAATTTCAATGTTTATTTTTTAGTTTTCGGCGGACACAACATCTTTGTTTGTATGTGGTGCTGAGGATCGAACCCGGGCATGCCAGGCGAGCGTGCTACCGCTTGAGCCACATCCCCAGCCCGACAGGACATTTTCTATATGTTACATTTCTAAGTTGCTGAGGCTGGCCTTGAACTTTTCATCTTCTTGCCTTAGTCCTCAAATCACCAGGCTTACAAGAATGTGCCAACACTCCCAGCTGTTCATTCTGATCAGATAAGTGGACGGATGTTTACTATAACTGTCTTCTTTCTTACTGGTTTTGGATATTTTGGGGGGAGATTCTGAATGGGTTTAAAAACCCTACCCCTCAAAATTTGACCCAGTGACATTTGGTTCTATTTTTTAGATTGTGGTAAAATATATATAACATAAAATTTGTCATTTTAATCTTTTTTTTTTTTTTTTTTTTTTTTTTTTTGGCACTGGGGATTGAACCCAGAGGTACTCTACCACTAAGCTACATCCCCAGTCCCTTTTATTTTTATCTTGAGACAGGGTCTTCTTAATTTGCTGAGGCTAGCCTTGAACTTGCAATCCTCCTACCTCAGCCTTCTGACAGAAGTTGCAAGTGAGTACCACTCTGCCCAGCTCATTTTAACCATTTTTAAGTGTACCATTCAGTACATTCATTGCACTCATATTGTTCAGCAACCAGCACCCCCATCCTTCTCCAGAACTTATTTGTCTCCTAGACAGAAACTACCCATTGCACAGTAAGTCTCCATGTCCCCCTCCTCAGCCCCTGGTATCCACCTTCCTACTCTCTGTCTCTATTGATTTTACTATTGTAGGTACCTCACATAAGTGGAATCATTTGCCCTCTGTGCCTGGCTCATTTCACTTAGCATGATGTCCTTAGGGTCCTTCCATATTGTAGCATATGTCAGACTCTCCTTCCTTTCTGAGGCTGAATGATATTCCATTGAAGGCATATTCTACATTTTGTTTATCCATTCATCTCTCACTGGACACTTGGGTCGTGCGTACTCTGGCTATCATGAGTAATGCTAACAGTTCATTTATACAATGTCTGCTTTTGTGGGAAATGTAGTTGGAACACAAGGAAAGGAAGAAAAAGGGCCAGTTCAGGAATGTGAGCATGCCAGGGGATGGCTGGATAGTCAGGGTAAATACAAAGTAACTGTCACACAGGCAAGAATTTGAAGGTTATAGAGGAGGCTCATTTGAATCAGGTTCAAGGCAATAGGCAAGGGAAGCACTGGTTGGAAGTGAAGGGCTAAACGGCCATCAGAAGTCAGAATGCTCAGGTGTCTAAGCATGTGACAAGGCATTGGGTTCAGCAGACAACAGGAATGGGACCCAGTGCTCCGCCTATGGAGAGATGCTGGTGAGCCATTCTGGGGAGCTGTTCCAAGGTGGGAAGAATAGAGATGGGGACTGGCAACAGCTGATCACTGCACTCCCCTGGGACCTGTCCCCGGTTACGCATCCCACTCCTGTTCTTCTCAGCACACCAAAGAATTCCCCACACTTATGGGTCAGCATATAATGCAGCTCCCTTTAATATTGCTGGATGGTTTGCTTCAACTGTGCATAGGTAGACCTCTTTCTCTCCCAGCCAGGTTATCTACAGGCTTCCACTTGCTGAAAGGAGCAGGTGATGCTGAAAAGTCTGGGGTAAGGCACCCCAGGGGTTCATCAGGAGAGGTTCTGCTGCAGGCAACCTGGAGAATGTGCCTTTAGGTAGTGATGTGTGTAGAGGGCCTCACCTTGCAGCACTGGGAGAGGTTTAGAGAGTACTTCACAAGTCCAAGGACAATTAAGAACCTTTATCATAGAAGCCCAGGAAGTTAGTACCAGAAGAGACTTTTGAAATGCTTCAGCCTCCTCAATTTTTTAGCTGAGAACACTAAATAATGGAGGCCAAGTGATGGCCACAGACCCCCACCCAGCTAGAGGCAGCAGAGTCCAGAACACTTAAACCAGATTAAAAAATAAGATTTAAATAATCATAGAACACAGAAAATAGTTACTACTATACATTTTTGTTCACTAACTTATACAGACAAAAAAATGTTAAGCCAAACCTAATGGCATGCACCTGTAGTCCCATCTACTTGGGAGGCTGAGGCAGGAGGATTGCTGAGCTCAGGGGTTCAGGGCCAGCCTGGGCAACAAAGTGAGACACTATCTCTAAAAATAACAACAAAAAGTTATATGACATTGAGGGCTGGGGCTGGGGCTCCTTGGTAGAGCACTTGCCTCGCATGTGTGAGGCTCTGGGTTCGAGTCTCAGAACCACATACAAGTAAATAAAAAATTTAAAAAAATAAAGGCCTATTGACAACTAAAAAAAAAAGGCTATGTAACGTTGAACATAAAGCTATATAGCTATCTGTGTAAGAAGTAATAAGGGAGCTAGGGATATAGCTCAGTTGGTAGAGTGCTTGCTTTACATGTACAAGGCCCTGGGTTCAATACCTAGCACCACAAAAAAAAAAAAAAAGAGGAATAAGAATAATTTTCTGGTTGTGGCTCAGAGGTAGAGCCTAGCATGTGTGAGGCACTGGGTTCAAACCTCAGCACCAAATAAAATAAAATTAAGACATTGTGTTCACCTATAACTAAAAAATAAAAATTTTTTTTAAAAGAATAATTTTCTAAACCACACAAAACAACTGATTTTGGAGTTCCTCTGTGTGCAAGGTTCTGAACCACCTGTGTCATGAACATGTTCTCTGTAACAGCAAAACCTAGGGACCCAGCAAAGCAAAATATGTCAGTCCACACTCACCAGATTTCCACACTCTCCAGATTTTCAGGAGAGGAGGGGAGCAAGCACAGGTAACACCAAACTCTTATTTGGTCACCAGCAAGAAGAGCACTTGCCTTTGAAGCAGGTCTGCATTCACCCAGGCAGCTGTCATAGGCAGCAGACAGCTCATCTGCTCTGGAAAATGGTGGGGCCAGAGAGCAGGGGCTCTGATGGTAGTAAAGGGTGGAAGCCATCTGGGCCAGGTAGCCTTCTAGGAGGCCTGGGATATGTCACAGGTGCACTTTCTTCTCCCCCAGTACTGAGGATTGACCTACATCCCTAACCCTTTTTTTTTTTTAGATGTTGGTGGACCTTTATTTTATTCCTTTCTTTATATGTAGGGCTGAGAATCAAACCCAGTGCCTCACACATGCTAGGCAAGTACTCTACCACTGAACCACAACTCCAAACTCCCAACCCGTTTTTTTGTTTTTTTTTTTTTTGGTTTTTTTTTTTGAGACAGGGTCTTGCTAAGATGCTGAGAATAGCCTTGAACTTGGAATCCTCCTGCCTGAGTCAGTGGGACTATAGGCATATGTACTTTTGCACCACACATGTGCTACTCTGGGAGTACATGAAGGACCTGTGAGTCAGAAGGAGTGCTCCCATGCGGCGGGATGGTGTACTCCAGTACAGGGCACAGCTCCATGCAGGCCCAAGCGGGGACCCAGGAACCGCTCTAATCCCTGTTCCCATCCTGCTCGGAGCTGTACAGACATTTTTTTGAAATGGTTCCCACCATAGGCACCCTCCCTAGGAACTGTTTTTTTCTGTCTCTTCCTTTCTTATTTAGTTTAGGGAGCAAACACTCCTTCCCCAGCTACAGTGACATCTCAGGGTGAGGCAGTCACACCATGAGCCAATGAAATTGTCTCCTCATGGTCCCAGCTGGATGAGTTAGCTTGTGAGACAATAGCGGCCCACGCGGCAGTGAGGGGCAGCCTCCTCTGATTTTCTTGGCAGTCACATTCCCATGTGGCAGAAAAGAATGCCTAGAAGAGCCATCAGGCAGTGGGAAGTGTGTCCCTCCCCCTCCCTGGCCCTCCATCATCCTAGGAGAGAATGGGCAGCAGAGGAAGGCCAGCCACACCTGGGAGGGGGCCAGGGGCTGCTAACACTGGCTTTCCTTCTTCTGTATCTGGCAGCTGGTGTTGCGAATCAACGCCACTTATGAGGCCCGGAGAGGAAAGAAACGGGTGAAGAGGCTGTCCCAGTCTACGGAGAGCAACTCAGGAAAAGGTGGGCCCCCAGCACACCTCTCTCCCTGCAAGCCCCTGGAATCATTCTCCTAGAAGTTGTGTCCTCTTGTTTCTGGTTTGCTCGCCAGAGAGGGAACAAGTTGGTGCTTGGTAACTTTCTGCAATTGTCCTTAGGGTGGCAAAGAGCAAGGAGCTCAGCCTGGGTGGTACATGCTCTGGATGCCCTGGCCTGCCATGGTAGCTGTCTTCTGGGCTCAGCAAGCCCGAAGGGCCAGTGTCGCTTGCTGTAATATTTGATATAAGAGCCATTTTAACCCGAATATTAATTTGGAAATTACTTAGTATTAATTTGGGAATATATTGAATTAGACAGAGTTTGTGTCACATTTAAACAGATGACAAAACATTTCCTCTAAACTAGAAATTTGGGTTCTATTTCCTGCATTAAAAGAATTCACATTTGCAACTTCCTTCCTTGCCCTTTTGGTCTAGTGACAGACGAGAACAGTGAATCTGACAGTGACACCGAGGAGAAACTGAAAGGTGAGAAAAGCAGCTGCTATGCGGGGCACACACAGGTGACTTGGAAGCCACAAAGATGGCCCTCCTCCCTTGTGTAAGGGAAAGATGTGTGCTGCCCAGGTTGCTGTACAAGGTGTGAGTGTCTGAGAGGACAGTGGGACCCATAGGATGTGCAGAGGCAAGCCAGCCATGCACCGGACCACAGGGACGGTGCTGTTACCCAGCCTGCAGCTCGAGGCATCTTGCTCCTCACGCGTCTTGTGAAGTTGTTGAAATAACTCATCCCTGTGGGTCTGACATTTGGTGATCCACGTCCAGGCTCTACTGAGTTTTCCAAGATTTCTCAGGCTCCAGGGAGAAGCCAAAGAAAGCAAGTCAGGGATGCTGAGTAAAGTGACCTGGACCTGTTCACTGGGCAGCCCTGCCTCATTCACCTCTGCCACAGCTGCTCCCTGGCCACCTCTGGAATGAGCAGTGTGTTTCCATTGGCAGGAGAAGAGGGAGATGTGAGGTCCCAAGTCAGTCAAGCCTCTGCCAGTTGAGCCACACAGGATGTTTACAAAGCTCACAGCCCCAAGAGCACGATGGCCTGGCTTTTATCACATCACATAAACTGAAAGATGAGGGGGATGGGGTACGGGAGAAGTTAGTGTCCCCATCCCAAAGACAGATGGAAGCAAGGTCTTCATCAGCCTCTGCCTTGAGGCCAGACAGCAAATCCCTGGCCGAGTCCCACAGTCTCAGACTCCCCACCCTGATTGGTGCTGCCCGTCAAATGAGAGCTGTGCCTCCCAGAGATTGGCAAGGGTCCAAAAAAAGAGTTTTCTATTAATTTGTTAGTTGTAGAAGCATTCTGGGGATTAGAAGAAGGACCCCGGAGCTGGGGGTTACATGACCTGTGTACTACGCGGCCACATTAGCAAGTGGGTCACTGCGGGGCCCTGGTTTCTGTCTCCCCAGCTCACAGCCAGCGCCTGGTCAACGTGAAGTCCCGCCTGAAGCAGGCCCCTCGGTACCCACTGCTTGACCGGGAGCTCATTGAGTACCAGGAGAGGCAGCTTTTCGAGTACTTTGTAGTGGTGTCTTTGCACAAGAAGCAGACCGGGGCTGCATATGTGCCGGAACTGACCCAGCAGTTCCCTCTGAAGGTACGGGGAGGCCCTGTAGGCTGCCCGGGGCTGCCATATTCTCATAGATTCCGGGAGGTGGGAAAGTCTGAGGAAAAGCTTGGGTCTAGAACCTTAAAAATGTACCATACTTAGGTCTAACAAGTTTAAAAAAAAAAAAACTGCTCCTAGAGAATGACCAAAGTTCCTTGGAGGACAGATTCAAGGACTCAAGTACAGGCAAAAATACTTTCTCACTCCCTGACCATCCCACCACTCTGTTCTCCCTTTTTTTGTGTGTGTGTGGTATCAGGGATTGAACTCAGGGGCATTTAAACACTGGGTCACATCCCAGCCCTTTTTATTTTTTATATAGAGACAAGATCTCACTAAGTTTCTTAGGGCCTTGCCGCATTGCTGGGGCTGGCTTTGAACTAGTGATCCCTCCTGCCTCAGCCTCCCAATTCTCTGGGATTACAGGTGTGTGCCACAGTGCCTGGCTCCCATTCTCTTTGTCCTCCCCCAGTCTTATCCAGCCAGGTACAACTCTTTCCCACCTATCCTGCCTTCTCCCCTCAAGCCACACAGCTCTCCACAGGTAGTGTGACATTTGTGTCTGTGCTGAACATGTGCATGTGCATCTGTTTGGGTATGCAGGAGAATTCCCATCATCTCATGATTCATGGGGATGTGGGTTTGGATTTCCCGTCTTTTAAATCATGGTACCTAAAATAATGATGCTACTTAATAAAGCCTACAGTGATATGGCAAATAAAATATAAATTATTCTTGACTTTGACATTAGTATTAAAGTGATTCTACCATATTTTAATCCAGTTCAAGCAGAATTTATGAAGAACATCTGACATTGAGGGGCTGGGAATGTAGCTTAGTTGTGGATACTCACCTAGCATTCTCAAGGCCCTGGGTTTAGTCCCTAACACAAGGAAAACAAACAGAAAAGCTGTTTTCTACTTGCACCTGCGAGATTACAAAGATGAATGAAATGGGTTTTCTGTCCTCAAGGAGTTTACATTCTGACAAGAGGGCATAAGATAAGCATACCAAAAGGCAGACAGGACTCCATAAGGTAGAATGTGATGGTCATCACATCATGTGCACTCAGGGGGGGAGCATCCCGCTGTTTCGGAGTCTCACTACTCCAGCCTAATCCCAGCTCCTGTGAGCCTGGGTCCCAGCCTTCTGCCTCTCTTCCACAAGCCAGCCTTTCTTTCTTCCTGCCTACTGTGGACAGCACATCAGTCAAGACCCCTCCTTGGCATTGAGAGAAGTGATGAAAATGGAAGCAAACCACGGGCACAGGCACAGACCCTCCAAACTGTCATCTATTCCTCTTCCTACAGCTGCCACACCTCTAAGGAATGAGCCCTGAAACCCCACTGCCATGCATTAGCCCACTGGGGCGCTGCCCCATGGAGAAGCTCAGGTGGACTGACACCAAGGCATGAAGGACCCTCCTGTCATCCTTGGGACCCAACACATCAGTGTTCCAGGAACAAAGCATGAAGTCATGAATTAATTAGTTAGTGAATCACCAGAACTGCTGACTATTTACCATTTCTAGCCTGGAGTCTCCAGACTCCCAGACATTCCCATGAAAACCTTTTTTTAGTAGAAAGTTATAAAATCACTGTTGAAAAGAGACTAATTCAGAAATGTGTAAAGGAAAAAAAAAAAAACATCTATAATCCCACTACACTGAGATCATGCTTGCTAGCTTTTGTTATGTTTTCTTCTAGCCTTTTCCCATAGTATAATTTTCTTTTGGGATCATACATTATGTGATTTTTTTTTTGGGGGGGGGGTAGGGATTGAATCTAGGGGCACTCTACCACTGAGCTCCCCCCCCAGCCTTTTTATATTTATTTTTATTTTGAGATAGGGTCTTGCTAAATTGCCCAGGTTAGCCTCAAACTTGCAGTCCTCCTGCCTCAGCCTTCTGAGTCACTGGGATTATAGACATGTACTGCTGTAATTAGCTGCAAGGCTGGTTTTGGGGGTTTTATTTTGTTTTGTTATTTTTTAGTGGTGCTGGGGATTGAACCCAGGACCTTGTGCACATGAGGCAAATAGTCTACCAACTAAGCTATATCCCCAGCCCCTACAAGACTGTGGCAAGCAATTGAAACAAAATAAGAAATTGAAGGAAATTATTACAGGAGGAATTTGTTAGACATTATAAATTCGTAACCTCAGAAATTCAGATATATGGTATTGCAAATGAATGAAGGTAACTTTAGCACAAGGTTTTCCTTTACTTTTTATAAAGGAAGTTTAACAAGTGTAAACCTATAAAAAAACAAACAAAAAACCTTACATTTCTCAACACTTAAAATTACAAATTAGCCAGATGCAGTGACACATGCGTTTAACCCCAGCAGCTCAGGAGGCTTGCTAGTTCAAAGCCAGCTTCAGCAAAAGTAAGGCACTGAGCAACTTGGTGAGCCCCTGTCTCTAAATAAAATACAAAATAGGGCTGGGATGGCCCAGTAATCGAGTGACCCTGAGTTCAATCTCTGGTACCCCTCCCCAAGAAATTACAAATTGAGGGGTTCAGGGCTTAGCTCAATGATACAGTTCAGGCTTAGCATGCTCAAAGCCCTGTATTTGATCCCCAGCACCAAAAAAGAAAGTACCAATTGATAAATTGACATGAAAGCTTGAGTAATAATTAGATAAATGATAGAAATGATAATTAGAGAATTATAAATTGTTCCTTTTTATCTCCCAAACAGATTCCTGTTCATATACAAAAGAAGCAAACTCATGGACTTTGTCTATAGATCAGACTTTAATTCATCTTGTTCCTTAACAAGATATCCACCCAGTCTGTGGTGTGTCAGATACTGTCCTGAGTGCTGGGTTATCAGAGAGAGATTAAAAAAAAAAAAAAATAGGAATAAAGAAAGGCCAGAGATTACAATCATTTTTCTTACTCACTCTAACACTAGCTGTGCAATCTGAACAGATCATTTACCTTGTCAGGATGTATTTTCTGATCTCTGAAGTGAGAATGGTGGGCTGGACACTCTTTGAAACTAGTCGAATTTTACAGTGTAATATAATTTTAGTGTCTGTATTGACTATAAATAGTGTACCATTCTTTGGTGGGCCCAGAGATTGGGAAACCAGCTCAAAGCTCTGGATCCTGGAACCTGCCATCTGGAGGGCTTGCCATGGAGCTTTCCCTTACCTATTGGAACACATTTCATAATGGACTTCAGTTGGAACTGCCCTTGGGGAAAGGCCCCACAGACTGAGCACAAACCCTTCCTAAGGGAGGAGATTAAGTAAGGGGCAGTTACACCTGCAGAAAGGTGGGAGACAGGAGCCTCGTCACTGTCCAATGCCAGAGTTTATTCTTGAACCTTCTTGCACCTTTCTCTCTACAGTTGGAAAGGTCTTTCAAGTTCATGAGAGAGGCTGAAGACCAGCTGAAGGCTATTCCCCAGTTCTGTTTCCCTGATGCCAAGGACTGGACTCCTGTCCAGCAATTTACCAGGTATGTGCTGGCCTCTCCTCACCCCCAAAGACTTTTAGGCAGGAATTAAGAGATGGGATTATGGGGGCTGAGATTGTGGCTCAGCAGTACAGCGCTCGTCTGGCACATGCGAGGCCCTGGGTTCAATCCTCAGCATCACATAAAAATAAAATAAAGATATTGTGTCCAACTACAACTAAAAAATAAATACTAAAAAAAAGAGAGAGAGAGAGAGAGATGGGATCATGGATGGCAGACCCCCTAGGTCAGTCATACCATTAAGCAAACCTGATGGGCTCTGGCCTAAGATTTCCCCTGTGCTATTTTTAACACTTCCCTGAAATGAGATCACGTTGCTACATGTGCAGTTATAGGGCCTCAAAGGCAGTCTGGGTGTATGTGTGTTTCATGTGGCTTATGAAGGGAATTCTTAATCTGGGCAAAGAAGGAAGCAGGCATTGCCTGTCACCACCCTTACCCAGTGCTCCTGAAACATTTCTTCTACCTGTTGCTTGGATTGCGATCAGTTTACATTTCTACTTTAGCCCACATTTTAAGATGCCAGTATTTCCCTTATCTGCTGCTTCCACAGTTGACCAGGCTTAGTAGGCCACCTATCCTGTGTATCCTTGAAGGTGGCCTAGCAGTCTTCAAGAACAGTACAAGCCTTAGGATAGTTGATACAAACAGTGCCCTGAGAGAGCTACACAAGGGCCAGTGCTGAGAGGCCCAGAACTGTCCTGTCCTCAGCTACTCCCTCACGGCGTCATATCCCTCACCCTGAGGCTCGCAGAGGACAGTGCCTATCCCTCCTCCCTCTACTCAGCCATAATTGTAAATTGACAGTTGTATTTTATTTAATGGGATGGCTCAGGTGATAGAGTGACATGAGAATTCAGCATGAAAAAAAAAAAAAACTCATTTTCTCTCACAACATGTGGCATTATAGATCTTTGCTTGCCTGACATTTACTCCAAAACTGTGACCACAGTCTCAGCAGAGAAGGACAGCAGGTTAGAAAGCAACTCTTCTTGACAGCCCTCCAGCATATCCCCTGGTGCCCTCCGTGTGGCGCCTCTTGCTTTGTTCTGCTTCATGATGCTTGTGTGCTTCCCCCCACAGTGAAACCTTCTCGTTCGTCTTGACTGGAGAAGACGGGAGCAGAAGGTTCGGTTATTGCCGGAGACTACTGGTTAGTAGTTTGCTCTCAATCAGCTGCCCTGTGTGGATAGCCAGGTCTGAGATGTGCATATGCTGCAGGAGAAGGAATAGGAGGTGTGGCAGGTTCCCCAGGGCAGTTACAGACAGATTTGGGGACTCACCTGAGTTTTTTTCGTAGGTGGAAGTAATATCTCCATTTCTATCAAAAGGAAAATACTTTATTTTCCCACCAAATTAAAGACTCTCCTCCTCTCCTTTAGCCATATGTCATTTTAATGTAATATGCTAAACAGACCCTGAGTGCTTAGTAAGAACGTTCAGAATGGTTGCTAAGGAGAGAAAACTCAAATAATTCAAGAGTGGCCCCTATGGAACAATCATCTTTAAAAGTCAGAAACTTGTTCCAAGGAAGTGATCATGCTAAAACATTTTATAATTTGTCTTTTTGAGGCCCATTCTTTTAAAATCATTAGAAGTGATGAATCTTTTTCCACTGCAAGCGTATTTGAGTCTTTGAAATTGGCTAAAAATCGTTGAGTCAAGTAATGCATGGCACATAATAGGTATTCAATACATATTTGTTCAATTAATTAATGGGTAAAAAATGTGGCTAACAACTGAAAACGTTGGGGGCTGGGATTGTGTGTCAGCGGTAGAATGCTCTTCTAGCACGTGTGAGGCCTGGGTTCAATCCTCAGCACCATAAAAAAATAAATAAAAACAAAATAAAAGTTTTTTAAAAAATTGAAAAAGTTAAGTGGGATAATAATTTCTATTGTTCAAATTACTTTTAAAGTATTGAGACTGATTTTTCTTTTGATTTGAAAATTAGCTTAAAAGTCTATTTCCAAAAACATCTTCAGAAATTATTTTTCACTTGGAATTATCATTATCATAACAGATATTCTCAAAATAACTCCTCAGTAGTAACTACAGTGATATGGGTAAACAAGTTAATAAGCTTCTTTCCTTTGTAGTTCTATAGGCCATATTGAGTACCTGCTGTGTGCATAGCACCGTTGATTTGGGCCCTTCGGGAGAATGAAAATATATATAATGTGTAGCTAGAAGTGCTTCCTGACTGATGTGGGGTGCTGATAACTGCTCACCTCACTGTTGTTCAGAAGACACCTCATGATCTTCTGGCACATGATGGACAGCTCCGGGGACTTTCCTCCCGGAGGTTGCTAATGCTCCTCTTGTCCTTCTGTTTCTCTACTCAAAGCCTGGAGGCAAAGGGAAGCGTCTTCCTGAAGTGTACTGCATTGTGAGCCGCCTGGGATGCTTCAGTCTCTTTTCAAAGGTGAGAACTTGGCCCTGGGAGGAAGCAGTGGGAAGGAGAGGCAGGGCCCAGAGGACCTGGGGACAGGCCTCCCCAGCTCCTCATCACTGTCTTCTCTGTTTGCCTTCCTGTTTCTTTATTCCCAGCCTCACCTCATTGTTACCTCTGTCCTCTCATCTTTGGTTCTGGAGGATGGGCCCAGAAAGTAGAAGAGGGGAGAGAGTAAGGTAATGGAGTGCAGGGAGGGCCAGGCAGAGGAGCTGCCCAGAACCTACCTGCCAGGTGTTTTACTTTCGTTCTTTTAAGCATTATTTGTCATATTGGTTTTTGCTGGGGAAAAAAAAAAAAAATCAGAGATTCATGTATGTATGTGTAGCTTTCTGAATCTGAGTGTTGTATGCATATGTGTGAGATTTATTATTTTTTAAGTGTTCTGTGTTTATCAAAATATTAATAATTTGGTCTTTTCTGGAAAATGAACCACTATATCAAGACATGAGAAATGCTATATTAATTTAGCTCATCCACCCAATATTCTATATTGATGTAGAACAGAATTTTTATCCTATGTGGTGCTGATATCAAAAGTTGGGTAAAGGGGACTGGGGATATAGCTCAGTGGGGGAATGCTTGCCTAGCATGCTCAAGACCCTGCATTTAATCCCTAGCACTATAAAATTTTTTTTACTATATATAATCCAACCTTCGTTTCCTGTATTAATCAGACATGAGTATCTAATCCATTAATTTATTTTAAATCCTGCTTGTATGTATATAAATTTCAGTCTGAGCTTCTTTTTCAGTCCCTAAATCTGTGTGGGTGGATATATGCTTCCTAGAAGCATTTCTGAACAAAAGTCTACTTCCTGCTCACTCTCCTTCTTAGTTCAGTAGAAGCCTGAGTTATAGGGATATAGAGGGACCTCTTGCCATAGTAGAACTTGAACTTCCCTGCTAGACTTAATGCCATCAGTGTGATCTGAGATGTGGTCTCTCTCTCTGCTGCACCAGGGGGCAGTGGCTTCCCACTCAGGTTGGTCATTTATAGCTCTTGCACAGTTGCATATTGCTGCCCAGGTCAGCCTTTCACAGGGGTGTGCTCAAGTGTGGAATTGGGCTGCGGGTCATAGTGTTTGTGGTGAGAAGGCCTGTGGAGCTGGAGGTGAAATGGCTCCTATGAGCAAGTCCAGCTTTGGCCACCAGCAATAATGCTGTGATCAGTACTCACATACACATGTTTATATGAACATGTTTTCATCTCTCTTGGGTAGGAACCTTGGAGTGGCTATGTGCTAGGTCGTATGGTGACTTTGTTTAACCTTTTGAGAAACTGCCACAGTTTTTAAAACTGGCTTGACTAGTTTACGTTCCTACCAGAAGCATATGAGGATTCTAATTTCTCAATTTCCTTTTCAACACTTGTTATTATTGTTTGATTAAAGCCATTCTAATGAATGTGAAGTGATAACTAATTGTGATTTTGATTTACATTTCCCTGATGACTACTTCGAGTGAATTTTTAATTCCACAAATAAATCATGTATCTGTTTATGTATTATGGCCCCTTAGAGGGCTACAATCCTTTATAACATCTAAGTTTCTTTACCACCTTCCCAAGAACCAGTTTTTACCCCATTGGGGACAGTATCAGGCCCACTAAGAATGAACACAGCAGCCCAATAAGTCACATGCCAAACCCAGAATGAAGAGGCAAGGAACTATACTTTACCCTTTAGTACTAGGAACTACAAAGTCACACTGCAAAAGCAGCAGACACAGAAGGGAGAAGAATTGGGACCAATAATGCCTTGAGTCAGAGCACCTGTAATCTAAATGTGGCCTGATGAGGTCTGCAGGGCCTCTCCGTAATTCTCGAGTCACCATAGCAGGCCCACTCCCTCTAGGATTGAGCTACACCTTGGTGCTCTGACTTCGGAATCGCTGAGCTGCTTTCCTGATCCTTGCAGATCTTGGATGAGGTGGAAAAACGACGTGGCATCTCTCCTGCCCTTGTCCAGCCCCTCATGAGGAGTGTCATGGAGGCCCCTTTCCCAGCCCTGGGCAAAACCATTATTGTTAAGAACTTCTTGCCTGGTTCAGGGACTGAGGTGAGTAGTTGGGTTCCTTTCCTCTCTAGGAAAATGGTCCAGTCAACCAAGTCCAGTGGTCAGAAAGGCTGGCTTTCAGCAAACAATCAAATTCAGTTGTCTACCTTGCTCCTCGGATGGGTCCAGATTACTCCTCAGAAGTTCCACACTCGGTCCAATCCATTCAGCCCAGGCTTCCACCCCAGGGCAACCTCTAAGAACCATGCTGTGGGGGGCACGTGTATTACTTTGCATGATATTGGCCTTACTGGTCACTGAGCATCTTTACCTTCTCTTAATTGCCCATAGTCATTCATAAATCTTATTTGAACCTATTTACATTTTGTATCTGCATCCCCTCTATAACTTTTCATGTAAAACAGATTCTTTTCAGGGAAAACAAGCTCAGGGACTGTTGTTTATTCAGCTCAGACTTTGAAGCATGTCCCTTCCTTGACCAGACTGGGATTTGATGAAGGAGCTTGTTTTTTGTTGTTTTGTTTTTTTAATATTTATTTTTTAGTTGTAATTGGACACAATACCTTTATTATATATATATATATATATATATATATATTTATTTTTCAGTTTTCTGCGGACACAACATCTTTATTTTATTTTATGTGGTGCTAAGGATCGAACCCAGTGACCCGCTCATGCCAGGCGAGCACGTTACCACTTGAGCCACATCCCCAGCCCCAATACCTTTATTTTATTTATTTATTTTTATGAGGTACTAAAGATTGAACCCAGGGCCTCGCATGCACCAGGTGAGCGCTCTACCCCTGAGCCACAACCCCAGCCCTGAAGGAGCTTATTTTTACCCTTCCCATCTTCTTCATGTGGCTCCATGGACATCAGAAAACTGATCCCATTTAGCCTCGAGTCTCTACTTCCAAAGGCCCTGGCAAAAGTAGGTCACCTCTGGAGACAAAGGAAGGATGAGGTTGAGACTGGGACATTCTAAACAACCCAGTTTCCCAGCACAGAGAGCTGTTGCTAGCGAGCCTGAAACCATCCCATACCAGTTACAGGTGGTTCAGCCATGGGGTGTAGCAGGAGGTTTGCTGTGAGTGAGCCCCGTGTAGATAGAACACTGGGCATGTACAATGCTAAGAGTAAATTCTAGTCTCTGTTCAGCTCACCATGGAGGAGTCAGCTCTTTAAAGGGGAAAAACATGGGGTGAGAATGTCACTCAGTGGCAGAGCGCTTGCCTAGTATGCATCAGGCCCTGGGTTCAAACCACAGTTCTTCAAAAAAGAGAGAGAAACACATGAGTAGCAACTTGATAGATTCAGGAACAGCAACTATGGAATGATGTACACACTGGGTATAGATGAAAATGTATCAGAACATGATTGTAATGGGACTAGGGAGAATTAAGAAATATCTGGCTGGGTATGGTGGTCCACACCTGTAATTCCAGCTACTTGGGAGGCTGAGGCTGGAGGATCACAAGTTGGAGCCAGAAAGAAAGAAAGAAATGCCTTCTCAAGAAGTGCGTCTTAGTAGTGCTGCTCAGGCCTGTGCCTGTGATCCTGTTCCAGCAGGTAATAATCCCCGTGAGACAATGGCATTTTCAGTGGGGACACTAAAGTCTAGGCCATTTTCTAATAGTGAGAACTCTCCATGGGGAGTCCAGATGTGTTCTTAGCAAGGGGGAGCCTCCTGATATTTTGGGTAAAGGGCCACTGATTCTGACATCCACTTTTCTGGCCTCCATCCAAACTGTCCTCAGTTGAATGTGAGGCATGTGCTTCTCTCCCCAACTACCTCCTTCTCCTTCCCCAGTCCCTTTTGTTTTCCTCTCTTTTCTTCCTGTTCCCCTGCCAGTGGGTCATCCCTGCTAGGGACTTCAGAGCCCCAGGGACTGTGTACACCTGGGAAAGGTCTGGCTGACAGGTGGCCTGCCTTCATAGCTGCTCTATTCCCTGGCAGGTAATCGAGCTGTGTCGCCCACTGGACTCCCGGCTTGAACACGTGGATTTTGAGTCTCTCTTCTCCTGCCTCAGTGTCCGCCACCTGGTCTGTGTTTTTGCCTCCCTGCTTCTGGAAAGGAGGGTCATATTCCTTGCAGACAAGCTCAGGTACCACTTTGGATCCTTCTGCTGGAGTGTGTGAATGGCCTTAGACTTGAAGTGTGTAGAACAGGCCAGGTTCAGGGGAGAGCTCCTGTGGGTAAGAGTAGGAGGCAGTGACTGCTGATGTTGAAGGCCTAGAAGACACTAGTGACCTAAGCCAAGGCAGGCTCCCTGCCTGCTTGCCACGGGTCCTGTTGTGCACTAGGCACTCTGTTATGTGTGAAAAAAACAGTGGGGTAAAAGGCACAGACCTGTCCATAGTTCTCAGTCCAATGAGGGGAACAGGAAAGTAACTGGACACACCATGTTGGGAAGGCTCGTTAGATGCAGTTAGTTGTGGAAGTGGATGGAGGGCCCTTGTTCCCAGGGGAACTCTCTGTACAAAGGCAAGGAGGCAGGAAGCCTCACACATCACATTCAGGACTACAGAGGAGCACACTGTGGCTAGAACAGAGAAGGTGAAGCAGGCAGAGGTGGAAGGATTGCAGGGCAGAGGAAAGAGTGCAGACTCACCCAAAAGGCGTCCCTCTCCTCATTACTAAAGGAGATCACACAATATACACAGCACTCACTGCCCCTCAGGATGCCACCCAATCCCCGTGGTCATAATCCATGATTTGCAGATCAAAGAAGATCTGGAAGAAATGCAGAGAAGTGTTTGGGTGATCTCTGAACTTCCAGCAAAAGAAGGTCTTGCATTTTCGTCATTTCAAAACACCGGCTCTTAACCTTCTTACCTTCTTCGCTTTGGACTGAGGGCACAGAAGCCAGAAGTGTGCGTGCAGGTGGGAGCTACAGCTCCAGGAAGGGCCAAGATGTGGAGTCCTCCAGCCAGCCAGGCAGAGGGGGCCACTGAGAGGTGCATCTGGAAAGAAGATATGGCAGAAGAAGAGAAACCAAGTAACAGTGGCTTAAAGAGGAAATAGGACTGAACATCAGAAAACAAAAGAGAAGAAGAAAAGAAAGAATGGAAAGGACAAAATGTATCAACATGGAATTCATCAGGGGGCGTGGGAGGAAATGGCATCCAGCCCTCCCTTCCACTGCAGCCATCTGGTCACCTTCATGATGCTCCTCTTTGGACAGCAGCCATTTGGCTATTCCCCGATGGCCCCCACCCTGTGTTTGAGTTCACTTTTAAATGTCACAGTTACTGTACTCCCTGTGCACTTGTGTCAGGAAGCAGGCCCTGTCTTTAGCCTGCAGCTGGTGCTGGGTGCTTGGCAGCTCTCCAGGCTCCCTGGGCACTGGGGAATTCAGCCAAAGAGTTCTCAAGGTTGGGCCCTGGATACTAAGGATGAGGAGTAACCCTTCAGTGACCAGGATGGGGTTTCATTAGCACTATAGTAACCGTCTTGATTCTCTGGAAGGCTCACTCAGCCCCTCATTCTCCCCAAACTGTTGGATTCTCAGGCTTGGATTTGGGGGAGAGAAAAGTGATAGATTTCAGAAAGACCTAGGCAGGAAGTGGAAGTCCAGCTGAGCAAACCTGGTGTCTGCTCGGAATAGAGCTGGGGACACAGTCCCCAGAGAGCTTGTTTCTGGGATGAAGATGTTAGACTTGGGGAGGGCCCAGATTGAGAAAATGCCTGAGTTGATGAGTGTTGCTGGAGTGGAGCAACCAGGGGGTACCCCACCCTCATGAGAGCAGGAAACCATCTAGTTTCCTGGACAAAGTGCAGTGAAAGGAGAGATAGGAACAGAAAGGGGTGGAAATGTAAAGATGCGTGTCTCTTTGAGGGGCAGTATGGGAGGTAATCTCAGAAGGCTCAGTGCTTTCTACAAGGTGTCTGGGGAAGGACACAACCACCTCTACCTTACCCTTGGACAAATTTCTGGGTGGACAGCCTGGATGCTGGTCCAGCCCCTCCACAAAGCTGCTGTGAGGAAGGACAGAGGAACAAGGAATGGACCCTGCCCAGAGTCTCTTCCCCGGCCCCACTCCCTACCCTGTCTGGGGCAGCCTTATGGAGGAGACAGGTCACCCACAGGGCTTCATAGAAGGGACTTTGAGTTTGTCTCCTTGCCCTGCCACCCGTTCTCCTTGCCTGGGATTGTACCCTTAGAGATGTAGTCTTTTCAAACAGCACATGCCCAGGAGAGGGGCAGGTAAGCTGTCAGCTGTGGCTGCTGCCAGCAGTTCTCACTATGGCACACACTACGCGTCATGTGCTTCTTTTGAAGCAACTGTCAGATCTTAGGTGCTGTGGAGTGGATTTTTGTAAGGGAGGAAGAAGCAGCTGGAACGTGGATAATTTCAGTGCTTCCTCTGGGCAGAGCTAGGCCATGGTACAGTGTGTGTGCACGTGTGTGTAAAATGCTTTAATTGCATTTTTTAAATTCATTTTTAAATATCTTTATTTTTACCGGGAATTGAACCCAGGGGCACTCAACCACTGAGCCACATTCCAGCCCTATTCTGTATTTTATTTAGAGACAAGGTCTCACTGAGTTGCTTAGTGTCTCACTTTTTCTGAAGCTGGTTTTGAACTTGCGATCCTCCTGCCTCAGCCTCCGGAGCCACTGGGATTACAGGCATGCACCACCACGCCCAGCTTTTATCTTTATTTTATTTATATTTTTTTATGTGCTGCTGAGGATCTAACCCAGTGCCTCATAGATGCTAGGCAAGCACTCTACCATTGAGGTACAACCTCAGCCCCCTGAATTGCATTTTTTATACCTTTTACAGCTCCCAGGCATGCATGTCCCTCTCTTACCACACTCACAGAGGAAAGACCCTGAACTTCCTTAGCCCTGGGCCCTGGGTCTCCTCATTTGTGACACAGGGGTTTATGAGCCCAGGCCCCTAGTGGTTCTTTCTGGGCGCTCTGGTGTCTTGTTTTCCCTGCAGGCAGCTGCTCTTTCCCTATTACAAATAGTTCCATGTGTTCTCTTTCTTATCCAGTAAACTACGTTTCCATCTTATTCTGCCTCATGCAGATTTGAAGGGGTAGAAAAATAGATATTAAAAGACCCAAAGAGTTCCAAGATAGGAAGAGAAGAAAACCAAGCATGAGTTAACCTGATCACAATAAGGACAGCAGGTTCAGCTGCCACAACCTGGGGTGCTGCCTCTGGACCGGCCGCTTTCTCAGAGGCTCACCTGCATTCTTCAGTGCTCCCCGCAGCCCTGTCAGGTGGATGTTCTGGTCAGAACCCTGAAAGGCGCAGAGGTTCAATCACTTTGCACAAGGAAGCCAGTAGTGAGAGAGGTGTCTGACTCCAGATAAGACCAGGGAGCTGGCCAGGCCACCGAGATCTGAGGGTGGGTGACCTGCAGGGTATGGAACTCTATCTGTCCACAGAAATGTAGAAGAAAAGGCTTTGTAAAGCAGGCCACTAGGAGCCATTAGAAGCTCAGCAGTCACTTTGAAGCTGACACTAGGAAGACCAAGCTTACTTCCTCAGAGGCTTCCTTCCCTCAGTGGCCTTCGGCCTTCCAGCAGGGGCTACAGTAAGGTAGGTGTGACTGAGTGGCCCCCACAGACTCAGCTCTGAAATCCTTAGACTCCATGGGCCAGACTGCTCCAGGCCTCCTGGCACCATGCTTCATGAAATTTTCCAAAAAACTCTGAGGACCATGTAGACAAATCTATATCCACCCTATTCTGTTGGATTTATGGAAGAGTAGCTGTAGGGAATTAAAAGGTTCTGTGGCCAGGCCTCGACAAACAAGGGTTAGGGGAACAGTGACTGGCTGCAGGTTTCCTGATCTGGCAAATTCTGTGAAAAAAATGGTAAGTTACAGCTGCTCCCCTTATCCTTAGGACTCTGTGCACTGCACACATGCTGATCCTTAGCCCCATTCAGCTAAAAGTGGAAGGAAGCCTCCTTATTTTTCTTTTCTTTCTGTGGCCCCAGTCTTACTGAGGACACAGAACAGAGCATGAGAACAGGACATCTCACAAACTCAGTAAGTGGCCCCGTGACATCCCAGAGTGGGCCTTAGCCTGCCCCCAGCACTGTCCCCCACAAACACAAACACAGTGTATTTCCTTGTCACTGCTGGGGAGTCAGCCCACTGCAAGAGGAAATTGCAGGGAGCTGTGGTAAATACTGTATGAGTTGTAAAAGGGTTTTAAGTCAAGCCAAAAATCTATCAAATTTAGAATAACATTTTTGCTCTGTTTCATCTTTAGGGTGGATATTGAGTGTTTTTTAAAGGTCTGTCAAGCCAAAGTTTGACAGATGGAAAAGAAAGAATGTTGTTGTGATGGCTTGTTCTGTTGCCATAACAACCCAGATAAATATTACCCCTATCTTCATCTTCCCTATGATAAACATTTTGTTTTTTAGTTTACTAATTTTAGTTCCAGAAAGTTTTCGCTAAACCTATAGACCAGGCTGAATAAAATCAGAACCTGAACAAGTTCACATAAAGAATTTTAGGTGGCACAAAGCTTTTAATGTTCAAGGTTATTTTCTTTTCGTAGTGCAATAAACCATAAGCCGAGTGAAAGCCTACTGCTAATGACAAATAGGATTAGGTGATCAGATCTGGCAACTATTGGCGTTTAAGCCTTGGTTTTGACGTATGGTTAACTGCGTCAGTTTTCATAAATTTAAATGATCTTCTAGAATCAGCTGCCCTTGGCAGTGTTTGCCATCTCAGAACACAAGGTTTGAGAATATGTCCCCTAGGCAGATGAGTTTGCTGCCACGTTGGTGCTTGGTAGCCAGAATACTACTTCACAGGTCAGGTTGGTCCTCAATAGTTGACAAAGTCTTGGAGACAAATACATTTAATTCAGCAAACTTCTATGAAGAAACCAATTTTAATATCATAATGGCAAGTTCTGACTTAACACTTAGTATTAGCCATCTATTTTTATACACGAACACCAAGAAGATACCATTTGAAGCAAGACCTAAAGGATAAATAGCCACAGATACTATAATCTTCTAATCCAAAGCCATCACTCACATGTCCTTGGCCGAAAGCATCTTCCGGTTCTTCTGTTGGATTCAGCTCCCACCCAGCCACACTGGCTTTGTGTCAGCTCTTCCCCTTTGGGACTTAACTTCAGTGCCTCAAAACCACTCAGACTAGTTATCAGTTTCTTAGAGTGAGATGTCACCATCGTTCTGTCCAGACTCTGCTAACAAACTCTACAGTGACCTTCCTGTGACACCCTAGTTCTTTTTGTGGCCTCAAACAAAACTCCCACTTCCAGTCCCTGGCTTGTTTTCTGTCTTATAGAGGAGAGTTTGTAGATGTTAAGCTGGAAAGACATTGGAGATTACCTTTTACAGGAGACTGTGGAGACATGAAGAGCTCCTCCTGAGATTACACAGGAGGTGACAGAATTGGCTTTCCTGAGGCCCAGCCTGTGTCCTTTTAAGTTCAGTGACACATTACTTCAGGGTTTCGAAGTACAGTCATGGAAACATGGCAGCCGCTTCGTGGTGACACCCACTTTCTGCAAGGCTTCACCAGGCCCAAGATCAGACCCCAGTTTACCTTTCACTGCTCTTCCTGGGAGTGATGCCCACAGGAGCTGGGGGGCTAGAGGGCACTGACTAGATCAGCCCTCAGTTCCTAACTAGTTAGTTAGGAAAACTTCCTGATTCTTTGACAGTGTCTTAAGGAAGCTCTGAGCTAGACTGTCACAGGTTCATAGATGAATTGGAAGCCTGCAGGATACAGGATCCCTAAATATGGCATGGAGGCTTAATAGGGACCAGAATGGAAGTGTCTGCTCCAGGGAAACTTTAGCGTTTCACAAGTGCATCCTGATATTCTGGAATAATACTTTTCAGCCTTCAGCCTTCAGCCCTCAGGAACTACCACCCAACAGCAAAATGCTCAGGGGCCTGACCCTTCTTGCTATGCCTACCATTGAGCCCTGTGGCCCAGCTACCCTCCCACTGGGGCCTTCTCTTCCCTCTCCCTCTTCTGTACAATTGGTCACAGCTGTGGGAGCTGGTGTTTCTTTCCTCCACCCACACTGTAATGCGAGCCAGCTGCCAGGATGCTCTTCCTCACCCTTCAAAGACAGCTCCTCCTCCAAGCAGCTGATGCCCAGGGAGACTGCTCCCAGCTTGCTTGAAAAGTCACCTCAGCCTCCCAGAACCATTCCCTTTGCATATTCCTAAGAGACCCCTGGTCCCAGCAGTGCTCACCCTCCTGCCTCAAGTCAGGGAGGAAAATTTCATTAGAACTTGTAGCACTGATTGAGGAAGACATACCCTACCCTCACTACCGTTTTCTCTTCTCTGCCTCTCGGGGAACTGCTGCCACCACCAACTGTATTATTTGCAGGATTTGACCTTTCCTTTCTTGTATTGCACAAGGCAATTTTTTTTAGAATAATGACGTGGGCTAGAGAGCCAGAGGAATGAGACACTCCTCGAATAGATGCCTGCCTGCTGCTCTGCTCTGTGCACCCAGCACTCCCTTTGTGCTCCAGCTACCGAGGTGGTGATGATAACTAGGTGTGCAAACTAGGCTCCAGCTGCAGGGGCAGATCTGACAGCCCCTAACCTACACAGCCAGCAGTATACCTGTTGTCCCTGTCAGAATGGAGTACAGTTATCCCTTAGCTCAACGCCTTTCAGTTCACTGAATGAATTTCATCTGTGACTTTTATTTACGCATCCTATGTATCTAGCGCCAGCATTGCTTAGCACGTTTCCTAACCTCAGTCCAACCACCTTCTCTTCCACCTGGTTCACACTTACTCACTGAGGTGATGCACACTTGTAATCCTAGTTACTCAGGAGGCTGAGACAGGAGGATAGCAAATTCAAGGCTAACATGGGCAACTTAGCAAGAGGCTGTCTCAAAATAAGAAATAAAAAGGGTTGGGATTGTCGCCCAGTAGTAGAGCATCCCTGGGTTCAATCCCCAGTACCAATAGATAGATAGATAGGGCTGGGGGTTGTAACTCAGTGGTACAGTGAGTGTCCCTGCGTTCCATCCCCAGTACTGGGGTGGGGGGAGGAATGTGGTACATTGTTATTAACTATAGTGATCATATTGCATATTGTACAATAGATCTATAATTTCTCCTATCCATGTGCTAATGTATATTTTAAACATGTTTCACAGGGGGTGCTGAATTCAAGAGGAACACATTGAAAACTAAGTAGTTTGAGTTGTTTTATTTTATTCTTCTTTGACTTTTTTTGTTTTAAGGTACCTGGGATTGAACTCGGGGGCACTGAACCACTGAGCCACATCCCCAGCCCTATTTTGTGTTTTATTTAGAGACAGGGTCTCACTGAGTTGCTTAGCACCTCACTTTTGCTGAGGCTAGCTTTGAACTCATCATCCTCCTGCCTCAGTCTCCCAAGCCGCTGGGATTACAGGCATGTGCCACTATGCCCAGCCATGATCATTTGTTTGGAAGAGGGATTTCCAGGGCTGGGGATGTGGCTTTGTGGTAGAGCACTTAGATGACATGTTTGGGGCCCTGGGTTTGATCCCTAGCATTGCAACAAAAAAAAAGCAAGAGAATCAAAGAGAGAGATTCCCAATATTTCTCCATGTTTTGTTTTAGCACTTTAAAGGGTTACCGCTAAGTTATTTAGCATATTGTCCTTTGGTCAGGATTCTAGGTAAGGGGTAACTGTATATGAGTTTCACTTTTACAAAATGGAACAATTGTGGGCTGGGGTTGTGGCTCAGTGGTAGAGCGCTTGCCCTGAGTTTGATCCTCAGGATCACATAAAAATAAATAAAAATAAAGGTATTTTTTAAAAACTTCAAAAAAAGGAAAACAAAATGGAACAATTGTGATTGTTGTCCTGTAAGTACCAAAGGATAAATCCTCATTTTCCCTGATTGCACCCAGGCATTCTTGAGGCTTGGTACTTTATAAAATACAGCAGTTTATCCAACTCACAATTCCAGTGGCTGAAAGGTCCAAACAACATGGTGCCAGCTCCCCGGCAAGGGTCTCCATGGCCCCATCAATGTGATGGAAAATTGAAAACTGGCCTAATACATAAGGGGCAAATGAGTTGGCAAGAAGCAAGAGAGGAGGGAGTGGCCAGCCTCGGTCTTTTTATAACAGCTCACTCTGGTGGGAGCACACCAAACCCCTTCCTGGGAAACAGCTTGACTCCATGAGGTGGAGCCCCATCACTGATGACCTTGCCCCAGGTCCCCCCTCTGAAAGTTTCCACCACCTCACCACTGCCACACGGGGGCCAGGCTGCCAGCTCATGAACCCTTGGGGGACAGATCACATCCAAACAGTAGCAGTGGTTTGGGTTTTTTTTTTTTTTTGGGGGGGGGGGCATTGTTTTGTTTTGTTTGTATGATTTTCATCAAAATTGTACAAGGGTGGATGTGGCTTTCACAGGGAAGCACACTCTTGGGTTGATTATCTGGTCAGGGCATCAGCCCCTCCAGCTGTGTCCTAAGGCCTTGTGCATAGGCTCAGAGCATCTCCGATCCTGGTGCTGGGACTGAGTGACTGGGTATGTGTAATCCCTGTGTGATGCTTCTAACCAGCATGCCTTGGGGAGAAGTCCAGACGCTCCTCTCCAGCCTTCCATGAGGCTGCCTGTCCTTACCCTAGCTGAACCGGGCTCTCCTTCCCATCTCTCCCTCTGCAGCACCTTATCCAAGTGCTGTCATGCCATGGTGGCGCTCATCTACCCCTTCAGCTGGCAGCACACCTACATCCCCGTGCTGCCACCTGCCATGATCGACATCGCGTGCTCACCCACCCCCTTCCTCATTGGGCTGCTGTCCAGCTCGCTGCCGCTGCTCAGGGAGCTGCCACTGGAAGAGGTGAGCCCCAGCCCATCCCCAGTGGGGTTCACAGAGCCAGGGGGCAGTACTGGGAGGGCTGTGCCAGCAAGTGAAGGCTCTTCAGAGCCAGGAGTGTCGGGAGCAGGCAGAAAGCTGTCCAGCCACTGCTCCGCCTGTGACAGGTCCTGGCTCAGGTCTGGTTTAGTCCACCCTCGGGTGGCTGCAAACACTGTGTTTTTCTTTCTAAATTAAATGACTGAGGTTGGGGGGTAGTTCAGTGGGAGAGCACTTGCCTAGCTTGTTGCCAGGCAGGCCCTGGGTTCAGTCCCCAGAACTGCAAAAAATAAAGTAAAATACAAATAAATAAAATGAAGGTGGAGCAGCCATTGAGAAGGACAACGGTGAACAACCTAGCAAGCCATCAGCTCTGCCTTCAGACACAGCCGTTTGTCCTGTCCCCCTCTTCCCTCCCACCCGCCAGTGCAAAGGGAGGAACAGACACAAAGAACTAGCAGTAACTGGAATGTGTTTTTTATTTTGTGTGGTACAAGGAATTGAACCTGTGGCACTCTACCATTGCACTACACCCCCAGCACTTTTTATTTTTTATTTTGAGGCAAGGTCTCACTAAGTTGCTTAGGGCCTCCCTAAATTGCCAAAGCTGGCCTCAAACTTGTGATCCTCCTGCCTCAGCCTCCAAGTCCCTGAGATTACAGGCATGTGCCACCGTACCCAACTTCAAATGCATTTTTGAACTTATGACAAAACAGACAATGACTGTGCACCTATGAAAGGTCCTTTGTCATTTCAGTTAAAAAAACAACCTCTAGAACATTGCTAATGGTCAAACTGGGTTCTTAGATTGGTATCTCAGTAGGAAAGTGCTGCTTGGCACTTCTGGAGTTATTTAATCCCAACCCCTTTCTCTAAAGTGGCTACCCCTGTGTCCTGGGGACCTCCAGCAGTCAGAGACCAAACCTTAGGGGACTGAACAGTGCCATTCAGTCCTAAACCTAGTAGCATCTGTCTCTCTATTTTTCCCCAGGGCTCAAGATACTGGTCCTCTAATTGTCCAGGGTCCTAAAGGTAAAGGGTTTGTGCAGGTGCAGTGTGAGCTTTACATGGTTCATTTGGGTCCTAGAAGAGGGGTGTGTGGAACCACCCTCTGATCTGCAGCAGTTCTCTGAGCCCACCTGTATCTGGCTGTGGTTGGGAGACCATCCAGATCCCTTGTCTTCTTCCATCATAGCCAGTGGCCTCTACTAGGCTCAAGTGAAGGTCCCACTCACAGGGGCAGCACTTACCTACTAGGCCTCACTCCCCACACCCTAGCCCTTGTACCCCACCCTGACCCTGAGGAGGGGGGGAGAAGGTGCTTTGTCCTGAAAGCCTTAGCTAATGAAAAGCCGCTGCCTGCAGCTTGGTTGAATCCCTCTGCTTGTCTCTCCTGTTCCTTTGAGAGAAGTGACAAGATTCAGTGGACAACTGGGAAGAAAGAGGGAGAAGCCCCAGGTGGGGAGTGGCAAAACTGAGAGGGACGGGAACAAGTGGGGGTCTTCAGCATCTTTTACCCACCTCAATAACCAGCACACTTTAAAAAAGAACCCAGGAACTTCTGCGTTGGCCCATCAGAACCAGGCAGGAGCCGTCAGGCAGCAGAGGGACCTGGTGGCTGCTTTCTCCCTGTCTGCCATCTGTGGTGGCAGTCGCAACACCAGGAGACCAGCATGGCCCACCCTTCACCCCAGATTCCTCTTAGCCAAGGAGGAAGAAGGCTGAGTCCACCTTTATCCCAGAGGCCCAGGTGACAATACTTGTCCCTTTTCCTCTGTCCCGTAGGTCCTGGTGGTCGACCTCATCAACAGTCGGTTCCTCAGACAGGTGAGTGCGAGGGCCAGCCCCGCCTGCTGCTCCCTTTTTCTTACCTGTCTCTTCCTGGGGTTCAGCTCCCTAGCTCTGGGCAGGCTCTGTGGTGGGCCTGGGGTTGCTGGTGGAGCTGGACAACTAGACAGCCTCAGGCCAGGAGGCAAAAAGGAGGGTGATTCTGTGTGCTCTAACACAAAAGGATTTTCTAACTTCAGAATCAGGTGCAGTGGCATATGTCTAGTCTACAGTGATTCAGGAGGCTGAGACAGGAGCATCACAAGTTCAAAGCCAGCCTCAGCAATTTAACGAGACTCTGTATCAAAATAAAAAAAAATTTAAAAAGGGACTGGGCATGTGGCTCAATAGTTGAATGCCCCTGGGTTCAATTCCTGGTACAAAAAAAAAAAAATCAGGACACAAATTGTAAGCATTATTTTTATAGAAGGAAGATATATATGTGTTTTTAAAAGATTAAAAGGAAACCTATAAACATTGAAGTACAAATAAATTTTTTTTTTTTAAATTGAAAGGAGGGTCTGGGGTGAAGCTCAATGGTAGACTGCTGTGCGAGGCCTTGGGTTCAGTTCCAAACACTGCAAAAAGAAAGATGATTTCAAGAAAAACCTACTGACACATTAATGCTGATTTATTAGGAAGGGAGACTGAGAGACAAGTTATGAGTGATTTTAAATTGTTTTAATAAACTTTCGTATATTTCTTTATTTCTCTTTTTGTTATTGTTTGTGTATACTAAGGATTGATTCCAGGGGTACTTTGCCACTGATTTATCACTGAGCTACACCCCCAGGTCTTTTTCTTTCTTTTTTTTTCTTTTTTTTTTTTTGAGACAGGATCTCCCTGAGTTGACCAGACTGGCCTCTTAACTTGAGAGCCTCCTTCCTCTGCTTTCTGAGTCACTGAGATTACAGGCATGCACCACCACACCCAGCTTCACATATTTTCTGTAGCGATTTTAAATTACTTTCATTATCAGAGAAAAGCAGTGCACATTTATTTTCTTTTTATCATTTACTCAAGAAGTCTAACTCCCATTAGATCTTGCAAAGAATAACAAAGAAAGGCTGGGAATGGTGAGGAGGCTAAGGCAAGAGGATCACCAGTTTGAGGGGGGCTTCAGTAATTTAATAAGGCCTTGTCTCAAAATTAAAAAAAAATAAATAAAAGGGCTAGGGATGTGGGTCAGTGGTAAGTGCCCCCGAGTTCAATACCCAGTGCCATTTAAAATGGCAAAGCAATAATAAATAATAATGACACTGCCAGGCACCATGTCTCATGCCTGTAATCCCAGTGGCTCAGGAGGCTGAAGTAGAAGGATCTAGAGTTCAAAACCAGCCTCATCAAAAGCAAGGTGCTGGGCTGGGGATGTGGCTCAAGCGGTAGCGCGCTCGCCTGGCATGCGTGCAGCCCGGGTTCGATCCTCAGCACCACATACAAACAAAGATGTTGTGTCCGCCGAAAACTAAAAAATAAATATTAAAATTCTCTCTTCTCTCTCTCTCTCTTTGAGAAAAAAATTAAAAAAAAAAATCTTTCTCTTAAAAAAAAAAAAAAAAAAAGCAAGGTGCTAAGCAACTCAGTGAGACCCTGTCTCTAAATAAAATATAAAATAGGGCTGGAGATGTGGCTCAGTGGTCTAGCACCCGTGAGTTCAATCCCCAGTACCCACCCCGCAAAAAAAAAAATGACAGAAAATCTTCCTAGGCATTCTGATGGGTAGCTGTGAGCTTGGAGTAAGCACACTGAGGAAGAACCGAGTAGCGTCAATGCCTTTCATCTTTAGTCCATCTGCTTTCACTCCCAGAGGCCCCAGAGTTGGCCCTCGCTGAGGCTCTCCCGTCTGAGCCCAGATCACAAGGCCAGCTTGGGATCACACTGGTCTTTTGTACTGGACAGAATTCCCCCATGAACACAAGCTGCCCTTCAGGGTGTGGACAGTGGAAAATACCTATTGAGTGTCCGCGAAGTGCCAAGCACTTGCACAAGAGAATCGTATGCTTTTAATCTTTGAGATGAGGCACATATTGATTGGTAGCCCATTTTACAAATGGAGGAGAAACTGAGGCTCACACAGCTTATAAAAAGTAGGATTGGAACTCAGACCTCAGATGCTGGTTCCAAATCCTGT